GTTACTTTGTGCCATTTTCTTTGTTGAATGAACAAAAAGGAAAGATGAAGTCTTGAATCTTGATAACATAATTGTTATAGTACTGTCTAATGATGCATCCGTTGGTTGATTTCCGAGGGGGTTTGAATGAAGATGAAGATTAAATCATTTAAGTGAGTAATCACTGAGTTATTAGTCTTGTAGAAGGGTTAAGTGCTTTTTTTATTTATCATTAGAATGATGCCATGACCTTGATGATGTTTCTTGTGTCTGCTGATTAAATTGCTACTTGGAAAATGCTTACTTGCTACTTGGAAAATGTTTGTGATATTTACATGTCTGTAATAAGCATATTGTTATGGACAACTGTCAGAGGCTATTACATCCTTTATAGCTCTTAGTTTGCAATATTTGCATATCTGTATGCATATTGTTGTGAATTTTATTACTTAAGTCCCATTGTGTGCAGGAAAATTCTGTGTTGTGATGCTTAGCGGCCTGCTTACTTCTTTCTTCTTTTTAGTTTTTCTTGAAGGCCTACTGAGTTTGCTGCTCTGGAAATATCTTGGGGAATGTTGGGTAAGCAAAATATTCCAATTTATTCTGTTGTATTTTGAGTATGTTACACTAGTATATTGTTGATGTAATGATAATTGCTCCATAATATGTAGTTCTCAGTGATATTTAGAATTAGTTACTCAACCTTATCCTGGACACTTTTCATGTTTAAGAATCTACTGCTATGTTCAGGCATCTTGCACTACCTCTTAGACCTAACAACTTCACCCATCATTGCTATTTGCTTTTCCAAATGCTTATTTTATCTAAGTCATTGCAGGTATTCCTTTCCTTAGTTTATTTACATTGGACACAAATTCAATCTTACTCTTAATCTTTTTTACATTTGAAAATTTTTTACTAACAGTTAGCTTCTCATTCTTTTGTCAGTTCCAAGCAATTTATTTGCCCTTAAATACCCCAAAGTCTACACTCAGGATGATGAGGAAGAAGGTGAAGAAGAGGGTTTGAGTAAATGTATAGGGAAGGAGTTGAAGAAGCTTCCGTAGTGTCATAGCCATTGTAAATAATTTATGTAAAAGTTTGTAAACAATTTATGTATCTCTCTACTATTTTGTTGAATGTATTATTTGAATATAATGAGATTTGATATTGGAATATAATTAGATTGTGTTGGATATGAATATAATTTTTTGTTATTCAATATTGTGTACATAAACCTAAAGTAGATTCTGCAAAAAAAAAAAACTACTGTAGCAAAGCATTCTAGACGGAAATTCCGTCTAGAATGCTCAAATTCCGTCTAGGATGCCATTTTAATGGAAAAAAATAAAAAAATTAATTCCGTCTAGAATAATTATTCTAGACGGAATTTCCGTCTAGAATAATTATTCTCGACGGAAATTTTTTCCGTCTAGAATGTATTATTCTAGACGGAAATTCCGTCTAGAATAATCCGTCTAGGATGTATTCTAGACGGATTTTTTTATGTATCCTAGACGGATTTTCCGTCTGGATTAAACTTTTCCAGACGGAAACTAACTAGACGGCTATTCCAGACGGAATTCCGTCTGGAATAGCTATTGCAGACGGTTTTTTAACTATTCCAGACGGAATATTCCGTCTGGAATGCCACCATTTGTACCAGTGATATAGGTATACACTCTCTTATATATGTATAATATATGTGTGTATATATATATACTCTCTCTCTTAGTATATATGTATATATCTCTCTTATATATGTATAATGTGTTTGTGTGTGTGTATACTCTCTCTCTTAGTATATATGTATATATAAGTATACTCTCTCTTATATATGTATAGTCTCTCTTATATAAGTATATATAAGTATACACTCTCTTATATATGTATAATATATGTGTGTATATATATACTCTCTCTTATTAGTTATATGTATACATAAGTATACTCTCTCTTATATATGTATACTCTCTCTTATATAAGTATATATAAGTATACACTCTCTTATATATGTATAATATATGTGTGTATATATATACTTTCTCTGCCCAACGGGCAATGGCTACTTATGCGATTTTCTCTCTCTCAAGTTATAACTTATAAATATATACAATATATTTACATATAATATATGTATATATAATATATATAATATATCATATATGTATATATAATATGTAGTTACATAATAATTTATAAGTATATACTAATACATAATTATATAAAAAATAATAAATTTAAACTAATTTTTAGCATTTTTTTATCAAAAAAAAAATGAAAAGAAAAAAATTGAAAAAAATCCGGGCCGGTTGGACCCCGGTCCATCCAACCGGGCCCGGGGTACTCGGGTCCGGGTCCGGGCTCCGGTTTTGCCCGGCCCGGGCCCGGATTTCCGGGTCGGGCCGGGCCGGCCCGGCCCGGATGGACACGCCTACTTAGTTTCTTTTAGAATAGATTTATATTACTTGATTGCCTATAAAAAAATGGATCGCGTTCTAGTATAAAAGGAACATCATTCGAAATCAATCATAGAGAAATGTAAATGGTATTATGTAAGTTGTAACACTAGAGTTTTATTATGCTACAGTTTGGAGAAATATTCATCTAGGTCGTAACGCTAAATCTTCATTCATTTACCAACAAGGGATATATAAATATAATTGTGCCAAACTACAAAAGACGTGTAGCCTTTGTAGACCAAAATAATTAAGTTAATAGGGTTTTTAAAGCAAAATAACTTCAATCCCTCAGTAAAATTGTTAAAAATTACTTTCTATTTTTTGTCGTTTCCCTGCCTAAGGGGCGAGTACAGTCCCCAACATTATTTTCATCCTGGAGCAGACTGTCAAGGCCTTGGACAAAAAGTTAAGGGCCTTATAATCACGAATTTGTAGCGGTTGCAAAAATAAGGCACGAAGATTTTGCTCCTTAAAAAGGAAAACGTAACAGCTGATCCAAAAGGTATTTGGGCCCCAGACCCATGTTCAGCAAGTGGTCCAAATGTGTGTCTATTAATATAATATAGGCGGTCACAGCCCATTTGTTTATGGTTCTGGTCTAGCGCTACCATAAATAAATAAATGGATAAATAGAACGAATTTTTTTGTTGCATAATGTTTTTATATTTTTTTGGGAATTTGGGACTAACAAAGGAAAAACTATAGCGTTAAAAAAAATTCTTGATTTATTCATTTATGTCACAAAATAGTTTTATTCATTTAGGGTATGTCTGGTTGGCCAAAAAAACCAAGAAAACACATAATAAGAAACTTATTTTCTAAAAAAATTATATTTAATTTGGTTCTCACCTTAAAATCAAGAAAGAGGGTGTCACCCCTCTTATTAATTGATTTGACTATATTTCTAGATAATCCATTTTAGATATTTTTATTTCTACAAGGAAAACAGTTGGATCCTGTTAAGAAGGTTTTTTGGGTCAAATTTCCTTTTCTCCATGTCAATTAAACATCTCATGAGTGTTGTGAGTTTTCTTCTGGAATAGTAGCCTTGTTAGAAAATTACTCTTATAGAATGATAGTTTTGATAAAGGGGAAAAAAGGAAGGGAAAAATGTGTACAGACCCCAAAAGCAGAAACTTCATGTGACGAGACCCTCATAGTTTTCCCTATGTGAATGGGTCCCTTGATGTGTGACACTTTGTACTATAATCTTTTTTTATCAATTATTACATGTCAGCTTTCAGCTTTTGGGGCCTGTACACATTTTGCTTTTTGTTTTTGGGGCCCAAAAAGTAACTTACTAATATAATATTGGAATTTTTCGTACTAATATAATATTGGAATTCGAAAATTTTATAGCTGCTTATTGCGTTTGCCGGGAGTCGAACCCGGGTCTATTGCTTGGAAGGCAATTATCCTAACCGTTGGACTACAAACGCTAGACAGAGTTGATCAATAAATTTTTTATATTAATCAGTATAGAAAATAGTAAGGTTCAGCCTTTTCAGAAATTTTGGTGTCAAATGAATCATACTACTAAACATGAATATAGATTCAAAGTGGAGGGTTACTTTACTATATTTGAGATATCTATGATGCTTGAATCAATTATCACCACATATGAACTTGATATGGTAGAAAGCATGATATATCTTCAACCCCTTATTGCATAAAACCATTTAAAGTTGGATTTGGATCCTCTTTAGTTAGGTGGTAATTGGAGAGTATTCAATGTTTTTAATCTACTCTATCAATCACAATTTTATAGAATAAAATAATGCCATGTAGGATTTTCACAATAGAAAAAGTTGTCTTCTAAATACCATGGTAGATTTGGTGATTTTGATTTTATTTATTTATAATAATGCCAAACTAAATTAAAATTCAAAATGATCATATCTTAATCCCTCTAGGCTATGTGCTTTTTTCAGCAGAATGATGAACACGTTATGTTACTTTCATTTATTTGTTGCAATATACTGTTTTTATCAATTTATTTTTCTTGACACAAGATTTAATTATACATGGTTAGAAATTAAATCTGAAATATCGAAGAGTTTAATTAGAGTGGTTTCTATTATTTTAATTAGTTTTTGAGAAACATGATTTTGATCATAAATAAAATTATAGCAGTATTTAGAAAACTATTAACTTGATTATGAAAGTCATAGATGAGAATATCCTATCATTTGAAATTGTGATTGATGGTGAGGATTGAAAAAAATGAAAAATTCTTTAAGGACCCAAAATATGGGACCAATAGGGGGGACAAGTGAGGTGTCCCCCTCCTATTGGATAATGAGTTGGCCATCATTAATGATGACCAACTCATTATCCAATAGGAGGGGGACACCTCACTTGTCCCATTTATTGGTCCCATATTTTGGGTCCCTGTAGCAAAGCTCGAAAAAAATTAGATACTCTCCAATCTGTATACTATTACTAATAAGTGTTACTCTTGGTTATGCCACCTGTCAAAAATGCCACTTGGCAAAATTAACTCATACAATTATAAACGCCACCTGGCCTCAACACGTTAAATCTCTGCTTCGAACTTCTCTCCCCACTTACATTTCCAACGACGAGCTGCTTCGTCTTCCCCCAATTCTTCCATTTCAACGTTCCTCTCTTCTACCTCCTTATACAGAAGAAAAGTGTTCTGTCTCGAGAACCCAAATTTCACCGTTCCCCCAATTCTTCCGTTCTTCGTTACCCGCGATCGACACTTCGTTACCCGCGATCGACGCCTCGAGAACCCAAATTTCCAACGACGAGCTTCCTCGAGAACCCAAGTATTCTACAAACATGTCTTCCGCTTCGTTACGAATATATATCATGGCTCAGATCCTCATTCCCACATCCCTAATTTCCAAATCAACCCATCGTCTAATCCCCCGGCGACGACTGATCCCTACGCTGCGAAAAGTGTTCGGCGTCACTGAGAGGCGAAGGTCGTCGGTCGTCGGCGTCCCTGTAAGTGATCCATATGTTCAGATTAATGCTAAAATTCCTACCTATAATGTTCGATCTTTAACACAAGAACTTTATAATGTTCGATCTTATTTCTCAATACTGGAATTTTTAGTTGAAGTTCAACTCTTTTAGATACGAGATTACAACTTGAGGGGATGGGCATAAAGAAAATCCAGTAGAAAGTTTTAGAAATGAATGGTCTGATTTTGATGGGAGTGAACGTGTGACAGAATTCCCCAGTGAGTTGTAGCTATAATAGAATTTATACTTTTATTGATTTTGTCATGTTGTTTGTGAATGTGTTTTGCTATTAAATTTTCTCAAGGTGAAGGGATTTTCTTACTTAATGTTTTCTTTCTTTACATGTCAGTATTACCACGTTTTCATGTTTTTAAAAATGATATTTTGATGTCAAACTTGTGCAATAACATTGGAATTAATCTTGAGATGCATATTAAACCGAGATTAAAAAAAAGACTGGTGGGTGTCTAGTTAACAAGTTTATATGCACGTTGTGCATATGTGACACATTATTATGTTTATAGAACAATAAATATAAGGTTCATGGATTCTCATTTAGCCTTGAAGCTGTAAATTTTCAGTTTACTTATCTGATTTTCTGTGAAATGAATCATATCATCAATTTGATGCTGTTTCGAGAAAGAAAAAAAAGAAGAATTAAGAAGGTGCTCTGGTTGTTATTATATTTGTGACACAAGGCTTTGTCATTTCCATCATTTAACTTCTATCATTCCTAACATGTTTCTTAGTACTTAATATGCATTGTGCCCTAATTTACTTTAGTCGGTTATGACAATGTATCTGAATACCTCCAATGTCGGTGTGCTTGGTTGCAAATCATGTCTGAAATGACCCTGTTTCCTTTTATTTCCACCAGATGAACTTCTATAATTTTTTTGTAGTGTCTTTGAGCCTTGAAAACCGCAGGGCTGATTAATGAACTTCTATAATTTTTTTGTAGTGTCTTTGAGCCTTGAAAACCGCAGGGCTGATTATGGATAAAAACCAGATATTCTGTGAAGTTTTTGTAGTGTCTTTGAGCCTTGAAAACCGCAGGGCTGATTATGGATAAAAACCAGATATTCTGTGAAAAAGGGAGATATAGCATATAAGATTTTGTCCTGAAGAAGTTTTCGTTCTTTTTCATTTTGTATATGATTACTTTTATTTTGACCTGAAGAAGTTTTTGTTAAATTAGCTAACACATCCAGAAGTTGTAAATTCGATTGGTACTCACTGTTGTTAAACTTTATTATGCAGGCTAATTCCCACTATTTTGTTATCATCGAGCAGGTATTAATTTTGACAATTGATTGTGTCAGAGCTTATTTACTGTCAATTTAAACCATTGATCAATAAATGTTCTTCAATCTTATTTGCCGAAGCTTACTTATTGTCTATAATTCCAACTGATGCAAATTCTTCTACATTGTTATTAATCTTAATAGCTTTCGCTTTTCTTAATTTGCCAAAGCTTACTTATTATCTATAATTCCAACTGATGCAAATTCTTCTACCATTGATCAGTAATTGTTCTTCAATCTTATTTGCAAATTTTTACTTAACTTTAGCAGCTCAACTTTGTTAATTTGTTATTTGATATCTCAGAATATGTTTGATTACATAGATGTTCCTCCAGTGGGACTCAACTTTGTTAATTTGTTATTTGATATCTCAGAATATGTTTGATTACATAGATGTTCCTCCAGTGGGAAGTATAAACTCCATGAGAATCTGTGGATAATTCAAATATTGAGACAGAAGGTCCTTTTTTTACAGGAAGAAGTTAGACTATGTCCATCTTGACAAATTTTGAATGTCACGATGAGGTGTAAGGCGGTAAGCATTCATTTTACAAGGGCCTTTGATACTAATTCAAATTTCACTTCATCAACATTTTTCTCCTGGAAATTACTATATTGATTGTGGCTTAAGCAGTATTCTTTTTCGAAAATGAGACTTTTATACCATTATAGAGCTAGCCTGACATTCTTTGTTGCTTCTAAGGGCGAGCAATGTTAATTTTTTAATGAGTGCAGGGAGCTCTTGATTTTTATCAGCTTAATGCCTCTTGTCATATATAAATTTGTCTTACAACTTGGGTACAACCGTACTGGACATAAATATTGGAGATAAAAGCATCTGTGATAACTTATAGTAACTATGATTTATGAAATTTCAATGCCAGTTTGTAAATAATCTCATGGATCTTATCATCATATGATGTTCTAGAATCTTTGGCCTGGCGAGACATTTACGACACTTTTACTGCTATTAAAGAATAATATCAATCTAGGTATTTAAACTACCAACACCATCAAATTGGGTGGCTCATGCTTTACGATATAAGGGCTGCCACTTAATTTTTTGTTGCATATTATTATAGGTTGTCGTTGGTACATATTTGAGATGGCAGTTGCTGACTGCAACTTTTAGTTTGGTCCATAATTATATGATTAGAGATTCATAAGTATTGTTTTTTTCTATACCAGGTAACATTTGTTTCAAGCGAGCCTCTGCCTCCTGAGTTCTCACATGTTCTTGAATTTAGGGAAGTAAAGTATAATCTATATAGCCACAGTTTTCTTCATCTTGGACAGGTGAGTTTCAACCTGTATTATTATTCAAAATTTATAATTGCACTATTTACTTCCATTACACCCTTTGCATCTTGAAGCTGTAAACATTCCTTCTTCTGCAAGGAGCGGGAGGGGGCTGACCCAAACTTTTAGCTTGGCATCTGATTAGACCCATCCAAGTGGCTGACTTTAGGTCATCTTACACCTAGATTTATGTTAAACTAGACTGACCATCCAGGCCACACCTTTATTGATGGGAGGCTGGTGGCAGATGAGAAAAAATTAGATGGAAGGTAATGGAAAGATTGACTAATTACCACGATGAAAGCTGTTGCCTTTAGAGGGATACTTGGTGATTAATTATTAATAGAACAATCCAAAGCAGCTGGCAATGCATTGCTTATATAAAAGAAACTTCGCATGTGTAGCGGTTTGTCTTTGTCATACATTTTTCTGTTGCAGACTGAGGACTAATTCATGAATATTGTACAAGGAATACTGCTCTGACAACATATAACATATTGTGAAATTTTACTTTTGTAAGAATGTTGAAGGAAAGTAGACTTAGAATTGGTTGATCAATTTCACTTCATCTAAACTAGGGCTGCATCAATAGTTGTAATGTAAAGCACTATTCATTATTATTTAAAGTTTGTTCATGGCCGCTAGACTTTTGTTTTTGATGTGTTTCACATAACTTCATTAAATATTTATTGTTAATTTGATCATTCAATACATTCTTTTTGTAATCATAAAACTATTATAAACTTTTGATATTTATGCATAAAATTTTCAGCTATCTAATTTTTGAGCTTGCATCGCCATCAACTTTATGGATCATCACCAAGACCTCTATTTTGTACCATGTTCCTTTAAATCATTGCTTGAATGAACCTCATTACATCAATTTATTAAATGAACCTCATTGTATCAACCTCAGTAATTATGATTTGGTTGTTTTCTTCTTTTTTTCCTTTATCTTTGATGTACCAGTTGTTTGTTGTGGATCCTTAAAGATTAAAGTGCTTGAGCATCCCAGATGATATACTTTGGTGTCCATAAAGGCAATTATAAAAGGATGTATTGTGCTTTGCACTATGTTTTGTTAAACTTTTTTTTTATTATTTACCTATTTTCTTACTACTAAACTTAAATTTATGCTGACCATATGTGCTAACCATGCGCTATTTGTTAGGCTATATGTAAATTGTTGGGCCATATGAGCTCACCATATTGGATGCTTGAACTTTTTTTAAGGATTCTTTTAGATTATTGCCATTAATGATGTTGATGATGTTCTTATCAAATTATTATTTGATTTTGTTCTGTTTTTAATGATTATTGCCATTAATGATGTTGATGATGTTCTTATCAAATTATTATTTGATTTTGTTCTGTTTTTAATTGTAGAAACTTATCATTTTTAGTGAGTTAATATACTTCATGTTTAGTCAAAATATTATCCTATTGAAAAGTTTATGAGAAGTAACTCTCTAAGTAATCATTGTAAATGTAAATATGTTTATAAAATAATTGGCATGATATGAAGGTTAAACTCTTGGTTTGGCTTTGTTTTGGTTTTATCGTAGAGGGATCCTTAAAACCATACATACCTCAAATGAGCTTGATCTTGGAAGCAACTTCATGGAAGTAGAGATCTTAACTTAATACATTCAGCAAAGCAAACCACTGAATACTTACCAAAAAAGAAGTTGGGAAATAAAAGTACTCTGCATATATGAAGACTTAGAAAATTTCTTCTGTCCATCCATGTAGCCAGTGCATCTTGGGTTTGCACCCTATTTTTCTATTTACTTTGAGGTATGATTTCATTTCCTTATTCTTAAATAAAACTATAGTTTATTTGTCATTTGTCTATTTTTTTTTAAAGATTATCATGTCAGTATTATATAAATCCGTGCATCGCACGGGCTTGAAACTAGTTACTATGTAATTGGAAAGGATCTAACTCCATCCGAATACATAGATGTCCAGCTGGCACTAAAACTCAAATCCCCTTCTCCACGCTACAATGTCTTTGATAAGACGCTTGCCCTTTTCGGTCAAGACAATAATGTATTTTATACATTGTTTTCCAGATAAATCATTTCCTTTGTGGTGAGAACATAACAAACAATTGCACTCCCCCTGAAAAGTTCATGTTATGTCCAGTAGATATATTCAACATGAATTTTAATCCTTGTTAAATTTATATTAATTACCGCTAAGAAAATGCAACACATCAGGCTATGATATCAAGTAAAATGTCAATTTAAGAGAACTCATTCCTGAAAGATATCTACTCCTATGTACTTAAAAGAGAATCTAAGATTTACTGTAGCATGAACAATACTCTTTTAAGTAAAATAACAATTTAAGAGAACTCATTCTTGGAAGATATCTACTCCTCTATACTCAAAATGAGAATCCAAATTTACTGTAGTATGAACAGTAAATCTTTGGGTCCTTTAAGCATAGAGGAGTAAATTTACTATTCATGGTGTAGTATTTATTGTATCATGAACAATGTCGTTTTAAGTATAGAGCGGTAGATATAATTTCTAATTTTAAACATAAAATAATAAAATTAAATGTACTAAACCTTAGAGAGGTAGGTTTAAAATGCAAAGCTTAAAAAATAGGGGTCGTGCTTTGCACGGAGTACACACTAGTTTGTTAGAATGAGGCAACTAATATCTTTTATAACTCACGTTTGACTGTCCATCGCTCGCTCGCAACTAGGATGATAGGGTTTGCTTTGATACCATATTTATAAGAGACTTAGGAGTAGTCAGTCCTAAAAACTTAACTGCATGTGGGAGGGAGGAAATTCAAATAATTAATTTTCTTTATTATATAAAGGAGGATATATAATTTATTCTCTATCTAGTCATTGTGGGGTCAGTCAAGTAGAACTCAAAGTTAAAACCAGGATAATTTGTGAGTATAAACTTTTATGGTGTTAGTCAATTAGAACTATAATTAAGTGGATCATCCACCAAAGTATCTATCCATTAATGAAACCTAGAGATCCGTGCATCATATGAAGAGACTTTTAGATATCATCTACAATGTAGCTCAATCATGTAATTTTAGGCCGCGTCCTTAGATGATTATCTAAGGCGTCATCTTAGGAACACTTCTCCCATAATATAACATATGTGTGTGTGTGTGTGTGTGTGTGTGTGTCAAATGATCTCATGTGTGTGTGTGTCTCAAATGATCTCATGTATTAGATTAGAAGAAGGTGATAAAAAATAGAACTCTCATATTTGTTGTTTTTAATTTTTTTATATTTTGTTTCTCCATCCTCTTCAAATTACACCATAAGATCATATTGTAAGACCCCGTTGATTTTGATAATTCATACATGTGGATATTAGTGAAACGCAATATTCAGTATGTGAAAAATATCTTCATGGCATGGTTGTGCATGAAATCTAGCATTTTTGAGCTTATGAGAATGTATATATGCATTAGTTATGAGGTTGAGTTTGCAAATTTGCAAATCATAAGCATCAGAGTCGAAGAACTCAGTTTTCAGCTCATGAGTCGACCCATGACTGTCATGAGTCGACTCATCGAGGGTTTTCTGGTTTTTCTGGGTCGGGTTTGTTTTGGTTTCGGGTCGGGTTTTAACTGTTTATATATATGCTCCTCTACCCGAAAACACTTCATTTTTCATCAGTTCTCCCCAGAAACTCTAGTCCCCCTCTCTCCTCTCTCAAACCCTAGGTGTTCTTGGTGATTTTGGGACGTTTCAAAGGGTTTTTTCAGTAGTTTCTTTTGGATTTCAACGAAGGGTATCGTTCTTCATCACATCTGAGGCGAGTAACATCTCGCCCAATCTCTATCCCATGCTTTTATGAATTTATAAACGTTTTTCATGAGTTTTATTGAGCCTAAGACATAATTTCAAATATTTTTATGAATTTATAAACGTTTTTCATGAGTTTTATTGAGCCTAAGACATAATTTCAAATATAAAACGATGTTCTTATTAGTGTAAATGCTAAAGATCGTATGTTTTAGATTTTTTAAACTCCCACCAACAAGTTTTGATGAAAACCCAGATCTGGGAATTTATTTAAAGAAATGAAAATATGAGTTTTATTTTGATTAAATGCTCTTTTTCATGTTTATGGGTTAAATGTTAGGTTTAACATGCAAGTAATCATTTCTCATGCTATGTATCAATTCTTTCACTGCCTCATAGTTTAGAATTGATAGTTAAGGAGGCGTAGATCAGTATAGTGGAAGTATGGATCGAGATGGACGAGTTTCAGTTGTGATATATGCAGATTTCAGCCCGTAAGTCGACTCACGACTCATCACGAGTCGACTCATCAGGTTGAGTCAACCCCATGACTATCATGAGTCGACTCACGAAGTCTAGTTGTGTTGCCTTTTTACTTCTGCTGAGTCGACTCGTCAGTATACGAATCGACCCATAAGTCATGAGTCGACTCATAACTAACCATGAGTCGACTCACGAAGTCATTTCCTGTTATCATATGTTTTCTGCTGAGTCGACTCGTAACAGATCATGAGTCGACCCATGAGACATGAGTTGACTCATAACTGAGCACGAGTCGACTCATCGAAGTCTTTCTGTCTTATTTGTGTTTCTGTTAAATCACCTACTGTATATATATATATACAAACTGTGTTCATAGTGTTCGAGGTACTGTTTATCATTCTTGAATATGAGAAGTGCCCTTATTTTATCGGGTATTTAATTGTAGTGTTATATTTTCATTCATTAAGTCCCTCGTGTTGAGATGCATTACTGATTTTCCTCGTGATTTGGACATTCTTTTTCATTTAGTCCTCTGTTGGACAATCACTTTACTCAGTCCTCGTATTGGACTATTCATTTCACAGTCTTTCAGTATTTTGGACATGCATTTTTCTGTTTAGTCCTCTGTTGACACTCTTTCCATTTAGTCCTCGTGCTGGACATTCATATGATATATATATAGTCTACGTGTTGGACACTTAATCGTTTTCAGACATGACACTTATTGTGGCCATGACATGATTACAGTACTTATCGGTAGAGATGGGTTTGTATTCGTTTCCTTTATTGTTCCTGTACTAGAACCTCGGGTTTGGTGTTTAGGGATTTACAATTTGAGATACAAGGTATATACATGAGGGTTTCCTTGTTTGGATTATTTCGCTCGACGTACCTATGCTCGTGTTGTATTTCCCTAAGTACTAAGACCCGTTAATGTTTGTATAAATGATTTATATTATTGTGTAATAACTATATTTTCTTATGCAACGAGCCCTATCCCTTGGGGTTGGTTGTGATGTTGCTCGCTAGCGCTTTGACGCTCGTTGTCCCTCCCCCTTTCAGGTAACGAGCCAGGAGCCCGGAGAGTCGCAGGTTGAGGACGACCCTTACTAGTGTCTACTATCCTCTTTTTAGATGTAT